TCAAAAAGTACCTGTCTATGTTATGGGCAGCCGGTAAGTGACATCCGCCCTCATACTCGTAGCAGCACATGAAACTAAATTCGGCACAATCAAATCCTTACTGAACCCCCTAAACGCTTCTCCCAACTCCACAACTAGGTGGCCATATAAGGGATTCCCAATCTGAGGCAACTTGGGGTGATATTCGAAAAGCTGTGTATCCGACAGTGGTATTTGCCGGTGAGGTAAACCGAAAGGTTTTGCAGGAGCAGTAGCATCTACCAAACTGATAGATGCACGCAAACGCATCCCGTCTGGCATTGAACATGATCAGGAACGTAGTGAGACTAAGTGCAAGCTGATAAAAAGACTACGCCATGATCGCGAACATTGGTGGTTAGCTAAGGCGAGAGAGATGGAAAAGGTAGCGGCAATAGGTAACAGTCGACAACAAATCCGACTTATCAAGGAAACTGTTACTATGAATCCAACTGTTAGCGAAACTATCTCGCAAAAAGATGGGATCGTCATTCATTCTCAACCCTGATGATTGTAATGATGGGCAGAATTGTTCAGCGGTCAATTAGACTGGACTTCAGAGAAACGTCGATTACTCACGATCTGGAGTTGCTTTGTGAAATATATGTGAAGTGTGATACAGTTATGTTATTAGTCTTCATTGTACCATTTCAATGTGGTCTTCAATTTGTGTTCACCGACTGGTTTGTTGTGAAAAACAAATACCTTTAGAATTGATCAATTTCTAAATGTAACAGACGTAGTAATGAGAGTTGTAATCGTGCAGCCATACTTCTGTTTAAAGAAGGAAGGAAAAACATGAAGAGTGATTGAAGAATTTAGGAAACGAAAATGGCCTTTCCGAACAGTAAATGAACATTATTTACTCATTTAACCAGTTGGTAATAACTCAACAACTTGATTGACGATGTATGGTTATCTTTCAAAGCCAATCAAGTACGAGTGAAACGAAGAGTTTTCAACGGGATTTTCAATGTTGGCTTCATTGCTCAGATTTAAGTAGATTGTAAGTAAATACCGATTACACATCCGTGCACAACTTTGCAAAATACTTTTGTTATTATACGTCACTCGAGTGATCAGTGTTTACGGAAGAATGTACTTTCTTGTTTTCTGCTTCTTGTAACAGCTTTAACTTCATGAAATTGTGGTGGAATACTTTTCTGAAGAGAAAGCAATTGGTGAAATGGAAACATTCATTATTGTAACCAGTGGTACCAGGGATTGCTTAACGGCTTCCTGATTACGTGACCCTTACATTGTCCATGTTGCCTCGGTATTCTAACCTGTAATATTTGTTAGGATCTTGACATTATTTTGATATCACGAGATCACCAACAAATATACCTCTAACTCCAATCACGACAGGTCTTCGGATTTCTGGCTGTCAAGAGATTTAACTTGGTTATTTTGCTGTACATAGGTACGATTCGCTATAAGATGATTCCTCAAAATTTATTCACAAATTTGCCGAAGCTCTGGTGAACAATGGTGTGAAAAGAGATTTATGCATTCACGAGGAAGCAGTAGTGAATCCTTGTTTACTCTGGCAATATTTCATGCATCCCATAGCATCATTCCTTGTTACAACTCGTTCGCGAATTTCAGTTCCATCATCTTCATCTCTCATGAATTCATCATTTCAATTCCTATTGACAGTTTGCAACTCATATTGTTCTTTATTACCATTATTTTGATCTCAGTTGTTTCACTATGCATCTATTCAAAGTTTGTTAACTCTATGATTTTGAACCACTAGTCCGATGTTCGGCATCTTCCCCTCTCACATTGTGTAAGATCCATTTTGGAAGTCTTTGTTTGTGAAAATCCCTCCATGTATACATTCGTAATATATCACTATTGATTCTTTCAGTTCTACATTTAATGATCTGTTCAATTACATTTTCGGATGATAATATTTGTATTTTATTGTAGTTTCTATTTTTGTGCCTTTTTGAGTTTCTTAGTTTCTTTCCGAACTGCATTATGTTGTTTAAGCTGACACTTAGATATGGCAACAACCATATTGATTTTGTTCCTCTGGCGGTTGGTACGCTCATATTGTCTGGAAGTGTGTAGTTTGGATTGGAATTTGAAGCACTCTTCCAGAATTGGAAACACTCTGTGTTATCATTGAAGAAATGACAGTGGTAATATTGTTTAGGTGATTATGTATATTTATATTTGTGATTAACAATAGAACCGTTACTTACCCAATCACTTGTTTTGAATTTCAGCTGAGCAAGACGGATATATAAACTTCCTGGGCAGTTATTCCTAAATCCAAACCTCAGTTTGGATTCTACACACTGTATTTATCTTAACAAAACTCCACGTCCCTGTTAATTTTGTTGGAATCAGTTATACATCACGGTGCACATGTTCATTAGTAGTCACTTTCGTATTTATAAGCACATCAATTTCTATGATAATTTTCATTGAGTATATTATCGGTTGAGCAACAATGCAAGCATGTTCGGAATACGGTTTCCCCCCTCGAAATGCAAAATGCTGCTTCACGATTGGCTTGCGACTTCACCGGAACTAGTGATAGGGAGTGAAGTAGTCGAACGTGTTGACCGCTTCATGTATCTAGGGAGTCTCATCAGTGCTGATGGCCTGGTGACTGACGAAATCTCAGCACGGACACAGAAAGCTCGATTGGCTTTCACCAACTTGCGCCATTTATGGCGCAGGCGAGATATCCGTTTGCTAACCGAAGGACAAGTGTACTATTCAGCAGTTCGCTCCGTCCTACTATACGGATGCGAAACATGGCCGTTAGGAGTAGAGGACTTTCGTAGGTTACTAGTCTTCGGTCATCGGTGTCTCCGAAGCACTGCTTGTGTATCCTGGGAAAACCGTATAAGCAATGCTGTAGTTAGGAAACAAGTTCTAGGTAGGGATGGCAAATCAATAGATGAAGTAGTGAAACTTCATCAGTTGGGGTGGTTGGAACATGTGTTATGAATTCCTAACCACCGACTGCCGAGACGAGCTATGTTTTGTAGTGTAGGAGTAGGTTGGAAGAAAGTAAGGGGCGGACGAACCAGAACATGGCGGAAATCCATAAAGTCACTGACAAGTGGATTGAGTTATGTTGGTAGATGTAGGCCACCTGGTTGGGGTCCTCGAGACGAAAGTCATCAATGGTTAGAGACCTTGAACGACATGGCTCGAAATCGTTTGCAATGGCGCAGGTGCATCCACTCTCTGTGTTCTATCTAATTCTAACCTTCTGAATCCCTCATAATCTCTATCTTTCTCCTTCTAAATTTATCTCACTAAATCATACTTCTCAAATCATATCTTCACTCCCTAATCTTCTCTATTACTGCTAATACTGCTACTATCGCTATCACTCTTGGATTTGAACTGACAGTTGCGTCTCTGTGCTGATGTGGTATGGCAGCATGAACTGATGTACGTACGTACGAAGTTCTACGTTGTATCTGTCTGTCTATTATCGGTTGTAGGCAATTGACTAGAATCTAGTGAAATAAGTGAATTAATGTTATTTTGCATCAATCTTTGTTTCAGCTTTCGTTCATTTGATGTGTGAACACTCAACTCTGTTGTAATAATTTTTCAGTCTGGTGTTTTCATGGAGATACGTGCGAACTAGTATGTGATGAAAACTAGCATCAACGAAGCTCGACTTCATGTTGAGTCATAAATGTACGTTGTTGAGGCGTTTCCAGATGAAACGAATCAACCATGTGGTGGTTTCTAGTTCTCATCAGCCTTCAGCTGATTTCAGTTCCCGACAAAAATTAACTTTGGACTAGCAAACTGTCATTATTAACAGTATGTATATGGACTAATGAGTGTCGACAGGCTAATTGTATAATGTGAGGTGATGTGAATATGATTAACCAGTGCCGCTGAGTCTAACTAAATTGGTCAACTTCAAAGACTGTTGATGCACTAATATTCCTGGTAATGTGAGGAAATGCTGACTTCTATACAGAGGTACGAGACAAAACAAACGTGGCAGGAAATTGTACAAAATACAGCCACAGTTAAATAGATATCGTGTAAGTTTAACACTCCCGATACCAGTCATATTTCTTTACGTAATGATGAATACGTAAGTAATCAACGAGACACGTAGGGTGTAATTTAAGGAGTATTGTATCAAATATGCATACCAAATCAAAGATGGATTAGGCGTTACCTACAAATGAAAGATATTATATGAATTAACAAGGACTACATGCATCCTAGTGATTGTTTCATTTTGTCAATTTGTCATATTTGCAACGAATGGCCTGTAGCTGAATAGATTAAATAGTTTGGGAAGAAATCTGGAGTTGTGGGAAATAATAATGCCTTAAAATAGATACATTCATTGGAGCAAGTTTAAATGTTAATTGGTAGCTTGCAATGTTACTGCGTTGTACTGTATTGCATGCCTAAAAATAAAATACCTTCACGAATTATTTGTAAATTTCTAGTTAAGTGCGAAAATATTCCAACTGTATGAAGTGATACGTCAATCTTAACAAATCAAGATATATGCATTCTCCGGATCACATCATGTCCAACAATACTAACGATAATAATTATATCGACGATTTGAATAGTAATAAAAATAATCATGATGATAATGATCATAGTAGTAATCAATGACGGTTACCAAAAACATACACGTCATACAGCTAATCAACGTGCACCCACTTATATTAAGCGTAAATGTTCGGTATTGATAGTAGGCGAGTCGCCCACCACTATGAATCAAATCCATGGGTTGAAAAACAATAGCGAATAAGGTTAAAACGATCAAACTTTTATTTTACTAAATGACATCAAAGTCCTAAGGTTTCAAATGGACAATCTGAATTTTGTTTACAAACGACATGATTGTTTATATTCACTTTGGTAAGACAAGAAACATAGGAAAATGCAATCACCAGGGATCCTCTTCAAAATTAACGTTAGATTTGTCAGAATTTTCCAAAACTTTCTTTGTTTCACCACCTCTACTTCTCACTGTGACCATCATCGTCAGTAATGGTTTTCTTAATTGTTCTCTTTCGTGTTTCTGTGGGAGATTCATCTTCGGATGGAGTCTCTTCAATCGTTCTTGTCTTCACAGTTTTCTTCTCTTTCACTGTTTTCTCCGAATCTTCTTCCTCTGGCTCTACGATTACTTTCTTTTTCACAGTTCTTGATCTTTCGCCACCACCGCTTATTTCTCCTTTGATTACACCACCACCTATTGAAGCACCGATTCCACCGTCAGCTGTTCGTTTCACTTTTAAAAGGTCGGCTATGCCTCGATAATCTCCACGGGCGAAATTGATGACATTTCTAGCAGCCGCAGCACCATCAACAGCTAGTCCTGCTCTCGCGCCTAAACCACCAATGCCCAAACCTGCTTTTGCGCCTATTCCACTACCAATGCCCAAACCTCCTTTTGCGCCTAATACACCACCGATGCCCAAACCTCCTTTTGCGCCTAATACACCACCAATGCCCAAACCTGTTCCGACACCTACATCGCCGATTTCTACGCCTGAGTCGACAGCATCTAAAAATGCAAAATCATGGTTATTGCAACAGTACTATTTGAGCAATGTGTTGAGGCGAGGAAAAAACAAACAAGTTACATAATCAGATTTTCTCCCCACTTACCTCCAGTTTGAACGCAAAGATATGCCACGGAAACCGTTATGAATAAAGTCTATTGAAAGGGAGGAAGAGAGTAATGGAGCAGTCTTACTAACCTGCATGATTGGCATTGTCTAGATTCTCAGAAAACTTGTATTGTGTATGAACATTTGTTGAGAGGCCTGGAGAGCATTTATACTCTTTTTCCATGAGTTTTACAAGGTTAAAATCGATTGAATTACTAACCACATGTCACTATTTACACCTGATATGATTGTGAACTATAGGGAAAAGTGGTAATAACTGGGTTTTATAATAGTTTTCTGAAATGTAAAATGTGCATTGTTCCGTTGTGACAAGTACTGTTGTTTGATCAGTTTGTCCTTTGAATGAAATCATTGACTGTACTGTCATACTCTGAAAGCATGTGTCAGTGATGTAATGCAGTGACTGTGCATGATTTCGCCGACTTTCCGATCGCTAGTGCCAAATGTATTTTACTTAGGAAGACTTCCTAAAAGTAGAACTGATCAGCTGTTTACCTCAATGCCTCAAATGATAAATTGCACTGATAAAGCCTTGCCTCACCCACATAGTGTGCACGTAACATGCCAAGGTCGTTACTGAGTGTGGTTCAGTGTTGATACCTAAAAATATTGTGATCCAAGATTCTGGATACAAAGCCGTTAAGCAATCCATGGTACCACTGGTTACAATAATGAATGTTTCCATTTCACCAATTGCTTTCTCTTCAGAAAAGTATTCCACCACAATTTCATGAAGTTAAAGCTGTTACAAGAAGCAGAAAACAAGAAAGTACATTCTTCCGTAAACACTGATCACTCGAGTGACGTATAATAACAAAAGTATTTTGCAAAGTTGTGCACGGATGTGTAATCGGTATTTACTTACAATCTACTTAAATCTGAGCAATGAAGCCAACATTGAAAATCCCGTTGAAAACTCTTCGTTTCACTCGTACTTGATTGGCTTTGAAAGATAACCATACATCGTCAATCAAGTTGTTGAGTTATTACCAACTGGTTAAATGAGTAAATAATGTTCATTTACTGTTCGGAAAGGCCATTTTCGTTTCCTAAATTCTTCAATCACTCTTCATGTTTTTCCTTCCTTCTTTAAACAGAAGTATGGCTGCACGATTACAACTCTCATTACTACGTCTGTTACATTTAGAAATTGATCAATTCTAAAGGTATTTGTTTTTCACAACAAACCAGTCGGTGAACACAAATTGAAGACCACATTGAAATGGTACAATGAAGACTAATAACATAACTGTATCACACTTCACATATATTTCACAAAGCAACTCCAGATCGTGAGTAATCGACGTTTCTCTGAAGTCCAGTCTAATTGACCGCTGAACAATTCTGCCCATCATTACAATCATCAGGGTTGAGAATGAATGACGATCCCATCTTTTTGCGAGATAGTTTCGCTAACAGTTGGATTCATAGTAACAGTTTCCTTGATAAGTCGGATTTGTTGTCGACTGTTACCTATTGCCGCTACCTTTTCCATCTCTCTCGCCTTAGCTAACCACCAATGTTCGCGATCATGGCGTAGTCTTTTTATCAGCTTGCACTTAGGCTCACTACGTTCCTGATCATGTTCAAAGCCAGACGGGATGCGTTTGCATTTCAACTGGTCTGCATCAACAGGGTCAAGGTTTTGTTGAATGCATCGTTTCGATAATTACTTTTATTAGATCACTTCCTCTTCAAAGAAACAAGAAAATTTTACATTCGAGTAAAGAATAAGCGATCACTGCAGACATTATCGCATATCTTAGAAATCATTTTCAAGAAAGGCTGTAGCTAGTCCATCGAGAAACAGGTGATTCTCCATTGAATCTAGAGATAATCAAGAGTCGCTGTATTTCGTTCACGAACTCCTAATAGCCAGGAATGTACGATTCGTAATCTGATAGTCACTCATGGATCAGTCTTGAAATGAAGAAGAACTACGTGGGCACAAATAGGAATATTTTACTTCGAAGCCGAGTTTCGCACTGAATAATGTACAACGGAATCATTGTTGTCTACATTCATCCTAAATTATAGTGTGGTGTGAATGTGGACGATATCTCGCCTGCGCTATAGATGACGCAGGTTGGCAAAAGCTAATCGTGCCTTCTGTATCCGAGCTGAGATTTCGTTAGTCATCAGGTCATCGGCACTGTTGAGACTTCCCAGATAGGTGAAACGGTCTACACGTTTGACTACTTCACTCCCTATCACTATTTCATGTGCCGGTGCAACCGAATCTTGAAGCAACATTTCGCGTTTTGAGGGTGAGAACCGCATCCCGAATATGCTTGCATTGTTGCTTAGGGTAGTCAGAAGACTCGGCATTTTGTCAGAGACTTCACCGAATAGAACTATGTCATCGGCATATTCTAGGCCAGTAAGCGATTTCTCTGGTAGAAAGTCGATTCCTGAATAGTCGGACGGGGATAAGGTTACATCTAGGAGCAAGTCTATGACAAAATTAAACAAGAATGGAGAAAGTTGGCATCCCTGACGGACACCACTTGATGTAGAAAATTCGGATGACAGTTCACCATAAGCTCTCACTCGACCGGTAGTTTTAGAGTAGAGTGCATGTATAAGATTAATGTACTTCTTTGGTACATCTTTTAGTGACAGGCACTGTCACAGAACCTTACGATCCACAAAGTCAAAGGGTGCATCCACTAGTTCTCAGGCTCAAAAATAATGTAATAGTTTTTGGTGTGAGTATATTATCATCGGAATAGATTGAGTGTATTGAGGTAAACAGCTGATCAGTTCTACTTTTAGGAAGTCTTCCTAAGTAAAATACATTTGGCACTAGCGATCGGAAAGTCGGCGAAATCATGCACAGTCACTGCATTACATCACTGACACATGCTTTCAGAGTATGACAGTACAGTCAATGATTTCATTCAAAGGACAAACTGATCAAACAACAGTACTTGTCACAACGGAACAATGCACATTTTACATTTCAGAAAACTATTATAAAACCCAGTTATTACCACTTTTCCCTATAGTTCACAATCATATCAGGTGTAAATAGTGACATGTGGTTAGTAATTCAATCGATTTTAACCTTGTAAAACTCATGGAAAAAGAGTATAAATGCTCTCCAGGCCTCTCAACAAATGTTCATACACAATACAAGTTTTCTGAGAATCTAGACAATGCCAATCATGCAGGTTAGTAAGACTGCTCCATTACTCTCTTCCTCCCTTTCAATAGACTTTATTCATAACGGTTTCCGTGGCATATCTTTGCGTTCAAACTGGAGGTAAGTGGGGAGAAAATCTGATTATGTAACTTGTTTGTTTTTTCCTCGCCTCAACACATTGCTCAAATAGTACTGTTGCAATAACCATGATTTTGCATTTTTAGATGCTGTCGACTCAGGCGTAGAAATCGGCGATGTAGGTGTCGGAACAGGTTTGGGCATTGGTGGTGTATTAGGCGCAAAAGGAGGTTTGGGCATCGGTGGTGTATTAGGCGCAAAAGGAGGTTTGGGCATTGGTAGTGGAATAGGCGCAAAAGCAGGTTTGGGCATTGGTGGTTTAGGCGCGAGAGCAGGACTAGCTGTTGATGGTGCTGCGGCTGCTAGAAATGTCATCAATTTCGCCCGTGGAGATTATCGAGGCATAGCCGACCTTTTAAAAGTGAAACGAACAGCTGACGGTGGAATCGGTGCTTCAATAGGTGGTGGTGTAATCAAAGGAGAAATAAGCGGTGGTGGCGAAAGATCAAGAACTGTGAAAAAGAAAGTAATCGTAGAGCCAGAGGAAGAAGATTCGGAGAAAACAGTGAAAGAGAAGAAAACTGTGAAGACAAGAACGATTGAAGAGACTCCATCCGAAGATGAATCTCCCACAGAAACACGAAAGAGAACAATTAAGAAAACCATTACTGACGATGATGGTCACAGTGAGAAGTAGAGGTGGTGAAACAAAGAAAGTTTTGGAAAATTCTGACAAATCTAACGTTAATTTTGAAGAGGATCCCTGGTGATTGCATTTTCCTATGTTTCTTGTCTTACCAAAGTGAATATAAACAATCATGTCGTTTGTAAACAAAATTCAGATTGTCCATTTGAAACCTTAGGACTTTGATGTCATTTAGTAAAATAAAAGTTTGATCGTTTTAACCTTATTCGCTATTGTTTTTCAACCCATGGATTTGATTCATAGTGGTGGGCGACTCGCCTACTATCAATACCGAACATTTACGCTTAATATAAGTGGGTGCACGTTGATTAGCTGTATGACGTGTATGTTTTTGGTAACCGTCATTGATTACTACTATGATCATTATCATCATGATTATTTTTATTACTATTCAAATCGTCGATATAATTATTATCGTTAGTATTGTTGGACATGATGTGATCCGGAGAATGCATATATCTTGATTTGTTAAGATTGACGTATCACTTCATACAGTTGGAATATTTTCGCACTTAACTAGAAATTTACAAATAATTCGTGAAGGTATTTTATTTTTAGGCATGCAATACAGTACAACGCAGTAATATTGCAAGCTACCAATTAACATTTAAACTTGTTCCATTGAATGTGTCTATTTGAAGGCATTATTATTTCCCACAACTCCAGATTTCTTCCCAAACTATTTAATCTACTCAGCCACAGGCCATTCCTTGCAAATATGACAGATTGACAAAATGAAACAATCACTTAGATGCATGTAGTCCTTGTAAATTCATATAATATCGTTCATTTGTAGGTATCGCCTAATCCATCATTGATTTTGTATGCATATTTGATAGAATACTGCCTAAATTACACCCTACGTGTCTCGTTGATTACTTACGTATTCATCATTGCGTAAAGAAATATGACCGGTATCGGGAATGTTAAACTTACACGATAACTATTTAACTGTGGCTGTATTTTGTACAATTTCCAGCCACGTTTGTTTTGTCTCGTACCTCTGTATAGAAGTCAGCATTTCCTCACATTACCAGGAATATTAGTGCATCAACAGTCTTTGAAGTAGTCCAATTCAGTTGGACTCAGCGGCACTGGTTAATCATATTCACATCATATCACACTATACAACTAGCCTGTCGACACTCATTAGTCCATATACATACTGTTAATAACGACAGTTTGCTAGTCCAAAGTTAATTTTTGTCGGGAACTGAAATCAGCTGAAGGCTGA